AACTACAACTAACAATGTTAATATGTTTGAACTTCGAAGCCTTAATGTTTTGATTTTGTTTGGAAGTTACATAAAATAATAAAAGAAAATAAAAATAAAAATAAATTAAAAGTAATTTGTATTAATATTAATAATATTATTAATTTAATCTAACATCCGATTCTATAGCGGTTCGACCCTTTTTCCTTTATGGGTCGCGATGTCCAGGCTGGTTTTTAAAATATTGATAATTAGTGATCAATGAAATCGTTATATTTAACAGTTTTGCTTGGTGTACATCAAGTTTAACATCATGAATGATATTGTGTAAGTTGGCAGTTTTTTGTACATTGATTGTAATAACATTCTTTCCAATCAATGGTCAGATTTCCTACACATGGGAGATGTTATCTAAGATGTCAATTATGAATGTACAAGTAGATTAATTGTATATTTAATCATAGCTGCCATTTACAAAAGAGTAATTCTTGTTGAACAGGGCCACGTCGGCCCTGTTCATGTTGCATGATTCTATCAGTGCTAATCTTGTTGTGTATTTTGCTTACAGTAAGTCAAGAGGCATGACTGTTGATGTTTATTAGCTAATGTTATATTTAAAACTGCAGGGTTGGGCGACAAGTTGTCAATGTACCATCTTTCATGGTAAGAGTAGATTCCCAGAAACACATTGATTTCTCTCTTACAAGTCCTTTCGGTGGTGGTCGTCCCGGTAGAGTGAAGAGAAAGAACCAGAAGGCTGCTGCAAAGAAGGCTTCTGGTGGTGATGGGGATGAGGAGGATGAAGAGTAAGCCAAGCTACCTGGGGATTTTGTCTTATGCTCATGTAGTGTCTTTGCCAAACTCTTTATGGTTTTTGTCGAGATATTTAAATTAGAAAATTCTAAACTTCTGGTCTTGTTGATTCTTATCAGTTTCAAATCCTTGTTAGATGTTTTCTTAATTTAGTTTTTGGAAAGAGAGTTGCAATGTTCAAGAGGCACGTTGGGCATTGAGATGTTTTTGTTTTACTTAAAGTGACATGAATGCAATTTTTCTTGGGTTAATTATATTGGATATCACTGATCTTTCACCCTCATTGTAATTGCTTCATTGAACTTTAATTTGAAGCAAAAAAGTTATTTAATTTAAAAACAATCAACTACTCCGTTTACTGACCTACCAGAAGTTGCTCGTGTTCGTAAAAACTTACGAAATGCCAATGTGTGCATCCTGATTAGCAAATGAATAATGATATTTAGCACTACTGCTAGTGTCAGGTACTGATTTAGGTGGCAACTATGTAGCATTAGAATTGCAATGAAGCTGGTTGTACAATAATTGATGACAATCATGTGTTGTCAAAATTCGGATCATTGATATGAAACAGTTTTTAACAATTTTTAAAATGTATGGATATGATGACGTCAAGTGTGTGGTTGTCAATTTAGTTTGTACACATAGTATGATTCGTAGCATTAAATAATATATTCATTTAAATGCAATATTTGGTGTTAGATTACATTATTCTTAGCAAATTAATAATTGTAGAGGTTGTTGAACTTTCATTCAAGTTGTAATCGGGTCACTGAACTTTCACCGAGTAGATGGGGTCATTGAACTTTAACCGATAATATGGCTAATTAACTTAATAAGTAAAAGAATAAGAAAAATATATATTTTTTAAGTATTGAAATATTGCACGTGCTTCAGTAACCATTTATAACATTAACTCCTGATAATCTGAAAACTATTACAAAATTCACATAATATTAAACGCATATTTTCTAAAATGAAGTGGACATGTAGGAATGAAAAATTGAGAAAAAAAATTTATATTTTTTTCTTTCTTATTTTCAACTACACATTTAGGGATATTAATGAATTGAATTTTGATCCGAATTCGATGAAATTAATGGGAGATGGATTTAGGGTTTAGTTCGATAACTCGATCAAGATCTGAATCCGTTAACTGAATAAAACAAATATAGATATAAACCAATCCGATCAAATAATAACCCGATCCCCAAGTTGTTATAATAATATAATATATTTTATATATTATTGCATAATTTATTACATTTTTTTTTTCCCATTTTGAAACTTGTATTATACTTTACACATAATTTTTAAATAATAAATATTATTAGATAATAGTATAGTATTCTTAATTGAAATATTTGGAGTGTTTTTAAATTTTTATTAATTAAAATAGGGTAAAAAATAATTAATTTATTTTATAAATTAAACACCAAAGGGGGCCAACAGTTGGAGTTGCTTTCATTTTTCCCAACTTCTCACTTCCCGCATCGAATACTTGCTCGAATATCATAGGATTTGTAATCTATAAATAAGTGGGCCAAGAATTCAGTAAAAAGCTACATGGGCCTTTTAATTCTAGGGCCTAGAAGTTAACTAATATAAAAATTTTAGAGAAATTATAATAATTCAGGTGTTTAAAGATTGGAATTCAAAATTCAGGGACCAAGGTTTATTATTCAAAAATCAGGTGATATAAAAACTCTTAAC